ATACAAACCAGATTTCTGAATGTGCTTTCATTTCACAGAGTGGCCCCAGAAAGATAGCCAAGAAAAGAGTCGTTTAAAAACAAATCGTAGAAAGAAAAAAAAAATCGTAGTTCATCCCTTGTTCTTTCTTATTCACCCACAACTCAAATTTAAGCATTTACAGCAAAGACCAAACACAGCAAATCCTTTAGGCTTCTCCCGTTAGGAAGATCGAAAAATCCCCCAATTAAAAACGCCCCAGCTGACCAGGGCTGAACACTTTGATCCAAGAGGCCACAGAACAACCCTGGGAAAGGGGCAATGCAGAAAGGATCTTCACATTCTCACAGACCCCGGCCTCCTGGAGGCATGGGGTACCCACGAGCCCCTGAAACAAATGCCCTGGACCAAATATTCCCTGACATCTTCTTAAAACCAAACCACCAGCAGTGTTTTTCCTCCCAAGATCTATCTGGTATTCAATTGACAGCATCTCCAAGGACTAGCTGGAGGCTATGTTAATGGGGAGGAAACAAGTTAGAAAGGAGGGCAGAAAAGGTGGTTCAACTCAAGAATGTAATCGATGTCACTGAATAGCTTGTGTGGAAACTGTTGAGTTAGTGTGTTTACTGCGTATCGCCCACTCCTTGTATATAGTCTCACGCACTGGACTGCTAACCGAAAGGTCAGCGCTTCTAAACCACCAGGCGCTCCAAGGGAGCAAAAGGAGGCTTTCTACTCCCGTACACAGGTTACGGTCTTGGAAACTCACTGGGGAAGTTCTACTCTGTCCTCTAGGGTCGCTATGAGCTGGAATTGACTCGAAGGCAGGGAACTGTGATGAGTTATTCTCAACCACAATATAAAAACGCTAAGCTCACTGCCATCCAGGCAATGCTGACTCGTAGCAGCCCCCTGTGGGGTCCCGAGACTGTATGGAAACTGTTGACAGTAGTACAAAGTCCAGTCTTTCTCCCTCTGAGCAGCTGGTGGATTTGAACTGCCCACCATGCGGACTGCAGCCCAACTCACAGCCACTGCACCGCCAGGCGTCCTATAGTTGAGTGATCCTCAACCACAATAAAAAGTCATCTTCATTACTGTTCTTTCTTTCTTTAATGTTCCCAGCCATTGAAAAGGAAACAACAACAACAGGATTAAGGGTTGGCTGTGGTGGGTATTCCAAAGCCCGGGTTTGTATATTATATTTTAGAGATGTCCTCCGGCCCGGGTTTGTATATTATATTTTAGAGATGTCCTCCGGCCCTTGCCTTTTCTGCAATTGGCTGGTCTCTTTTTCAACTTCACTTCAAGCCCCTGCAAACAGGCCACCATGGATAAAGCACCGAGCTCACACCAGTGAGCTAAAAGATCCAATGCAAAAAGAGGCCCCAAGGCCATACTGGGCGGAACTGGTGAAGTTGCTGACAGGGACCGGTCCCCACCTACAGCAGGGCCGCTGTCACCTGGAACATGTGGCTCCAGAATCTATGGGTTAATTTCAGTGGCGGCAGCAGTTGCCGTGCATCGAAAACTTGTGACATTATCTCGGGGCAAGAGGTCAATCATTTAATGTGCTCTTTCCTTTTGAAGATTCAAGGGAAAGGGGGGAGGGTAGGTCTAAAAGTTTCCCAAAATGCACGCATTAAAATGAAAACACACCTTCACAAACCCTCACAAAAGGGGGGAATTGGACAGGAAAAGATGGGAAGGGGGAGGAATATCCTTTAAACCAGCAGTTCTCAACCTGTGGGTCTCAACCCATTTGGGGGTCAAATGACCCTTTCACAGGGATTGCCCGATTCAAAGCAGTAGCAAAATTACAGTTATGAAGTAGCAATAAAAATAAATTTGATGGTTGGGGGGGGTTGTCACCATAATATGAGGAACTGTATTAAAGGAACGAGGCATCAGGAGGGTTGAGAACCACTGCTTTAAACAAACAAACAAACAAACAAACAAAAGCCCAGGTTTTCTGTCCAGTCCAAGGCACCTGAAGAATGTCCCGTGGGTCTGAGAGGAGGGCTTGGAGCGTCACTGTGCCCGAAGACTACACCTCTTGCATCCTTACTGTTGTTGCCAAGCCCCTGGCCTCTTCTTGTGCATGCAGACAGTCCCCTGCCATCCTCCCAGGCTCTTCCCTGGGCTAAGAGTGGGGTGGGGAGAGGGGATTCCCTGGGGCTCCCTCCTGCTGGCAGCCCCATGGGAGAGGGGTGGGCCAGCTGGATGGCCCCGTGAAGAGCTAAGGGATGAGACCCCATCCCTTCTGACTCAGCAGGCAGCTGGCTCTGCGTGTGTCGTGTGGCTGTGGCACCCTCACCGCTGAAGGGCCACCACGCATTGCCGCCCTCCCACCTTGTCCCCTCAGGTGTGACTTGTCTCACAGAAGGTCTACTTGCTGAAGCTCTGGCTGGATGCCAGGCTGGGCTGGCCTGCTGTCCATGGGATGGTGACTGAAGGGGTGGGCACACGGGCAAGGAGACAGAGTGGGGAAGAGGTCAACAGGTTGCTCGCGGCTCCAGGACACAGCCAATAGGGGGGCGGCGTGGGGAGACAAGGAAGCAGCTGGCCCAGTGGGTGTTGTGTGTGACGGTGGCAAAGGCACCAGGCTGCCTATCTCACGTGTCACCAAAGTTAGCCCAGGGCATTCGGTCAGCAAGGCAAAGGCACAAGGCCAGCGCTGAAAGCAGGAGATGAGCCAAATGCAACAGTCACAAAGGACAATTTTGTCTCAGAGGAAGCACCCAGGCCAGGCAGGTAGGGGCCAACCCCCATTCACAGCTCCGCAGGGCGGTGTGCAGCGGGAGACTCGCTGCTCTGGATATGCAGGGGGCTTCCAACTGTTCGAGGAGAACTCGTCCACCACTGTTTGGAAGCCTCCTTAGAAGCCCTGATGGTGAAGTGGTTACACGTTTGGCTGCTAACTGCAGGGTCGGCCCTTCAAGCCCGTGAGCCGCACAGAGGGAGAAAGATAGGCTTTCTACTCCTGTGAAGAGTTACAGAAACCCACAGGGGCAGGCCTGCCCGGTCCCATGGGATTGCTGAGTCAGAGTGGATGCAATGCAGTCTGGTTTGTTATTTTAATGGAAGCTGAAACTCCCCAGGAGCCCAAAGATCTTGAACCGATCAGTCAATTACAGCCAACGTCCACACGCGTGCACGGACACACAGACCTATACTGGAAAATATTGTCCTCAATTTTTTTTCAAAAGCCTCACCACCTAGTCCATTCTGACCCTAGTGGCCCTAGAGGGCAGAGCAGAAGTGCCCTGTGGGTTTCCAGGCCCATCACTCCTTACCAGAGTAGCACGCCCTGCTGTCCTCCCAGGGAAGGGCTGTTGACCTTTAATCACATCTGTGAACCAGCGAGTCTAAGGCCCCGGCGGATGTTCTGTGGCTCCTAGGGGAAGCTTTGGTCAAACACTGGTCTGGACGCTGAGGTGCCGGAGTCCCTGGAAGCCAGCGGGCCTTAGGAAGCACAGGCACGCCTCTGGGTCAGCGTGCCAGCCGGGCTGCTACTGCACACGGGGATGGGTGTCTTCACCAGCAAAGTCCTCTTTCTACGTTTGGGATGCTGGAAGCCCAAATCCAGGGAGCCAGCTCTCTGGGCGGGCTCTGCAGGAAGGGCCTGGCCTTCCTTTCAACATCTGTGAGCCGGCATGTTCACTCTTATAAGGATACTAACAATATACTGATCATAAAATTAACAGGGGTAAAAAAGAAGCAAGCTTACTGCCATTCCGTTGACACATAGGGCCCCTATAGCTATAGACAAGGTAGACGTGCCCTGTGGATATTTGACTTGCTCTTTTCACGAGTAGAAAGCGTTGTTTTACTCCCTCAGACTGGCTGGGGTTTGAAGCTGCAGCTCACAGAACAAACCACTACTAGCAATAAAAGTTAAATAAAATGAAAAGTCTTTAAAATGAGGTCAGACACAGGGTGGCGCTGTCAGAAGCGAATACCACTGTCAAGTGAGGGTCTACCTGTCCTTGGGAAGAATGAATGAACGGACGCAAGGCCAAGTATGACCAACTCGACAGAGGTCAAGTTTAAAGGCTCCTCATTCTGGTTCAGTTCTTTCTAAAGTCACAGTCCAAGGGCACTGCCTAATGTGAACACAAGGGCTGCCAAAGAGCTGGAGACTGAAGATGTCCCAAGGGTCCAACTCCTGAAGATGCGACTCTGCTCCACCCCCCACCCCCACTCCCCCAGAGGGCATCCCCTCCTGTCCTAGGAGGCTGCCATCCGCAGCTCCGCCCACAGAAACACACAAAACATGGAAGAAATGTTCAGCGTGGTAGTGGGTGCTGTTCGGTCTCAAATCTGAAGGTCAGGCAGAGGTGAGCCGGACGCTGGGTCCAGAGCCAAAAGCGAAAAATGTCCAAATGTTACAGCAGGTCTGTCTCCCTGGTTCTGCCAAAGCTCAGCCAGGATATAAACCAAACCACACTCACTGCCATTGAGTCTACACGGACTCTTGGCCACCCTGCAGGACAGGCTACAACTGCCCTGCCCCGCCGGTGAGTTTCCAAGACTGTGGCTCTTGGCAGGACTGGAAAGCTCCGTCTTTCTCCTGAGGGGCCCCTGGTGGTTTCGAACTGTTGACCTTGTGGTTAGCAGCCCAATTTACCACCACTACACCTCCAGGTAAGGTGATAGGTGATGTGTGTTCGAACCGGTATATATATACCTGGAGTCCATTCTGACTCAAGGCGACCCTAAAGTGCAGGGCAGAACTGCCCCTGAGTGACAGTTCCTATAACTCTTTGCCGGAGTAGAAGACCCTGTCTTTTTCCTGTGGAGCAGCTGGTGTGTTTGAACTGCTGACCTTGTGGGTAACAGCCCAACACAGAACCATCGCACCAGCAGGGCGCCTTTACACAGCACCACAAAGCACGGGCCCTCCCATCCTGGGTGGCTTTTGCCTGATCACTCAGAAAGCTGGCGCTGGATGTGGGGTGGGAAGGAGGGGCCTCTCAGGCGGGCGGCGGGCGGGCTCTGCAGGGACTTGTTCTCACCTGACCATAATCCGTGCGGAAGACGACCACGCCCTCGGCACAGGAATCCACAGTGCTGGGAAAATGCTGTCCGTTTTCTCGCAGCCAGACCCGGGCTCCCTGTAAAGGGAACAGACAGCGATTCAGTTTGGGATCATTGCAAACGGCCACCATCACCAGGATCCTCTAAACAGAAAAGGGAAAGGGGGGAAACACACACACA